GCCCCGCCCCCGGCCCCGCCCCACCTGCTCGGCCCCGCCCCCCGCGGCTCCCAGGGGGGCCCCACCCTCATCCCAGCACGTGATGACGCAGGACGCAGTGACTCCCTGCCTTAGCCATCCAGCCGAGGTGCAGGGTTTGGGGCGGTCCTCGCCCGGTACCTGTTTTCCAGCCTGCAAGGGGGTGTGAGGCCAGATTAGGCCTAGGCAGATTCCCTGTAGCCAGACATCGAGATGTACCGGGCAAAGAGCTTAGCTCCTCCTGGAGCTGAGTCACCTCATTTTGGGCAAAGGCTTACCACAAGCTGGTAGATAAGTACTGCGACCAGAGCGTTCCAGTGGAGAAGGCTTCAGAAATGCCCTGCAAAGTCGAGGCCTCTAAGATAGAGCTTTATAGTCCTTCCCTCCCACTTTTACTGTACCTCTGCAGTAGACAATAAAGTATCTTTTCCTCGAAAGTAGCATAGGAGTGCTGAGGCATTGGAGGATGGGCACCAAGGCTGGTGTGATCAGTGGGGCTTTTGTTGGTAGTCTGGTAGAGCTGGGGAGAAAAACTGGAGTGAATATTCAGGATTTCTAAGGGGAAAAAATCGTAAAGCCTTGATGAAGAATGTGGGTTTCAATCTGTAGGCAATGGGAAGCAAAGGTTTAATTTGGAAGATGATGTTCCTGCTGTCTCAGGAAAGTCCCTGTGGGAAACTGAAAATTCCGTTACTGGGGAGCAAAGTGGATGAAGGAAGAGTCGTTGGAAAATCGATGAAGTGGTCCCAGGTGCAAGTCCAGTGACCGTGGTGGGGGTGACGAACAGAGCAGAGATGAAGGAGGGAAGATAGCTGTGAACCTCAAGAAAACAGAGGCAGAGAAGTGCATTTTGGGAGTCAGGGCGGTGTTGGTGGCGATGGAGAGGAAGTTTGATTTGTTTTATAGATTTGGGGGAGGGATTAGAAGAGAAGGTATACAACAGCGAGGGAAAAGAATGTATCTGGAAAACTAAGACGCACTAATAGTGGCAAGGTTGTGGAGAAAGAGGAACCTTTAATCACTGCGGTGGTCGAGTAAACTGGTCCAGCCACCATGGAACTCTGTGTGGAGTTTCTCCACCGATTAAAAACAGCTACAATAGGGCCAGCTATACTATTCCTGTGTACATACCTGAAGGACTCTCAGTCGTAACAGCTTAAGAAGTGGACCTAGGCTAGATGCACATCAAAATGTGGAATTTTATTGGACCATATGGAAAAAGAGATCACGACATTTGCAGGTAAATGAATGGATCTGGAGATTACTATGCAAAGCATGGTAAACACAGAAGAACAAATGCCTCGTTTTCTCTCTTGTAGGCACTAGATTTTGATTTTTATACATGAAACTAGAAGAGGGAAATGAGAAAGGAAAAGGAGCTGCTGTGGTGGGGTGAGAAGAGGAAATAAGAGGATAAATACATATGACTTGAAAGCAGAAGAGGCACTCCTGCGGGACAGGAGGAGCAGCAGGCATGGACCCAGGAGCTGGGGGAGTCAACAGAACCGGAGCATGAAAATGCATGCATTTCATTAAGCCCATTGATTTGTATGCTAAGTTTAGGAACAAGGTTAAGAGTTAAAAGTAATAGTTTTCCCAGCCATGTTTCTGGCTGAGTAATAAGGACACACACTACTAGGAAGAAATTATAAACTTGACTTCATACTTCTTAGGATTGAAATATATCTAAGCCATCTAAGAAAAGACGATGAGTGGGCCAACTCAAGAAGCACAAGCTGGAGCCATGGTTTAGAAGTCATTTACGGGTGGACAAAGAAGAGAGCACCGTGCTGCCGTGGGGAGACTGCGGAGGGACCACCAGGACTGGCGACTCAGGAGCCCCACGCTGGAGTGCTGGGTCCGGCTGGGTCCAGTGGGGGAGCAGAAGATGAAAGCAGGCCTATAGATTCAACTGCTTGGAAGACAGACAGGAGAACCAGATTCAGGGACCAGTCTGAACTGTGTTGTGAGGGCCCGTTATTAATTATTAATTAGTGATAATGTGGGAAGGTTGGTGAGTGCTACTTCTTCAGAAAAGGGGAGGGAAGTTGACTGTAGGGAAGACAAAGGGCAATAAGGAACGGTAGATATTAGTGGGAAAGTACCAAAACGAGATCAGGGCTGTAGTGGACCTGCTGACAGCCGAGGTGACCAACGCTTCAGGTGCTTTTCCAAGTCCTCCATATCTTCTCATGGGAACCAGGGCCTTCGTGACTCGCACCTGTCATCCCAGCACCTGGTGTGCTGAGGCAGGATGGTAGCTACAAGTTCAAGGCCAGTCTAAGCAAGGGAGTATGGTTTTTATCTTAAGAGGGGAGGAGCACAAAAAGAAACGTAGAATCTCTGAGTGTCCAGTGTCCTTACGGAGTCAGACTATGACTTTCATAAGGTCTTCCAGGTGATCCAACTGTTTGAGGTTGAGTCCTATGTAGTGGGTGAAGGGAGAGAGGATACATGAGTGAGACAGAGTAGACTTGTAAAGTTTACAATGGAAATGAAATAAGGAGGGAATTTAGCCTGAGCTGTAGAGGGATGGGTGTGCCCTGTGGTTGGTAGTTTTTATTTTAATTTAGTTTTAGAAAAGCTTGCATCAGAAGTGATCTGGGAATGGTAACAGGAAGGTGGGCTAATGCACTGCGTCCCTGCTACATAAGCCTCCCAAACAACCGGGCACCGTGGGAAGAACCTATAGGAACTAACCATCCTCCTGAGAGATGCCTTTTACTTAAAGCAATGAATTTGATGAATGGATGAAGGAATGAATGAATGAATAGATAGATAGATAGATAGATAGATAGATAGATAGATAGATAGATAGATAGATAGATAGATAAAGCAAGCTTCTAAAGAAGACCATTTACATTGATCGGCAAACCAAGGGCACAGACCAAACATCTCCATATTACCTTTTCTTCCATTTCTTCACCTGCAAAGACGGAACACAGTCATTCTATCCCATCATGTATTGAGTGGAAAAGAATAACTCCTCTTAGAACAGCAAGCTAAAGTGTAAAACACACACAACATCTATCGACTGGACCAGCCACAGCTCCTCTGCAGCAAGGGCTTGTACTAAACTCTTGGTGGTTTTTTTGTTTGTTTTTAAGTCATTTTTAAAATGGTGGGTATTTTCCTATCATACTTTCTGTGTTGGGTTAAAACATTATCTAGGAGTCGTATCATGCTATGTTCTCATATTCAGTCTTAGGTCATCAGTTTTTGTATAGCCAAAATTAGCAGTCAAAGGTTCATACCCAAACTTCAGGAATCCATTTCATTTCAGTAATGACAGTGTAAAGTCTCCTTAAGAGTTTGTGTTTTACTAAAGCCAGTCTTTACTGCGAGCTATTAAGAACAACAGTATAATACAGCTGACACTTTCTCAAAAACAGTGCTTCCAATTACCACTGCAGAGCATGGCTCTCAAATTGTCATTTGTGACCACCTACAAAGATTTTCAGTTGCCTGTCATCAAGTAACATGATATTTTTCTTGCAATAATTTGTTTATAAGAATTCATTAACACCCAACTCCTTTGCCCAGTATGAGAACAGCATGTTTTAGGAATATTATAAATATAGTTATTCTATGAGGAAGGAAAATAACTAAAATAATCCTAAGCCAATTCTGTATCAATTAATACTGGTATCCATCCCTGTCACTAATGTATTTAATTCCTGCAAGAAGCCAGACACTGTGATACACTAGCAGTGATAGACAGGCTCCTTCATAGAGCCCACCTTGTAATAGAAGAGAAAACAACTAATCAAGGAGTTGCATACATAACTGCAATTGCATTTTTCATGCATGCTATGAGGAATGCTAAGGAACGTGTCACGGGTGTGCCTGATTCGTTCGGGGGGGTCACTCTGAAGCAGCCAAGCTGAGTTTCACAGTGAGAATGGGCATTTTGCAAGTGTAGAGGGGGGGGAGGCTATTTCAAGCAGACCAGCGTTTGTAACACTTCCTTTTTTCCCTCCTCCAGTTCTGTAGCTCTTTACCACCTGTCTTCAGAGGTACTGACCACACCCTTCTATTTCTCAGGCGACACACCTTAAGTTTTTTGTTTCTTTGTTTTTGTTTTTAAGGATCATAGTCCATACCTTCCAAACTGTCTACTAATAGTCCGAACTTCAACATTTAACTATTCCGTTCCTCTTGACCTGTTGGTGTGAGGCTAAGTTTCTATACATTGCTATCATAAAATACAACAATGAGGGAATTATTGTGGAACACAAAATAAAGATGGTTCCGATCTGATTATAAGTAAAATACCACATATATGAATATCCCATTAAGAATGAAATAAAACATCTCAGGTATGCCTATGATTTTTTAAATAGCTTCTAAGTTGGTAGGCTTCTAAGCATGTGTAAATTTGAACCTAACTACTTAATAAATGCAACTGCTTTTTTCCTACAAATCATGTAAAACTTATCAATACACTAAAATATAGTAAAAAGAGAAAGGGTAGAAACCATGACATAGTTCAACTCTTCATTTAAGAAGCTGGAAAATTCAGGCCCAGGAAGACAAGTTTAGATTCTAGGGCTTGTCAATCATACTGCAGCTCAAATATAGTTTATCAGTGTCT